ATATATCAACACAGTAGAATTCAATAATACAAATAATCTATCGACAAATTTAAAATCAAAATAAGTTTAATATCAGGTATTCATGTCTGTGAAGTTAGCCTCCTAGCTCCCGGACGTTGAGCGCTTATCAACTCTGATAAGGTAGGTAACCGCATTCCTGCATACTCTATTGCCTATTCATGTCTTATAAGGAGTTATAATAAAAATATTTATTTTTCAGATAGAATTCAGAATTCAAGGTGGTCGATGGATCATAATTATTATTACATTAAAACAATAAAATTTATAATGCACATTATGTACCTACCTAATTTTAAAAATAGTTATCATAATTAGAAAATATAACATAATGAAACATTTTAAAGTATTTAACTATTTTGAACTAGTAACAATATGGTAACATAAATAATTAACTACATTATACTATAAAAAAATACAAGCTTACAAAACATCACCTACTATTATACATACCAATGTTKAATTTTCTCTTAACTATTTCTTATTTTTGAGAAATATAACCATTATAGCGTTATACAATGCATGAATAAAAACTAAAAAGGCAATATCATTACAAGAGGTATAATGTTAATAGGTAATACATTTTGTGCTATAGTGTACCTACTATAAAAAMGAAGCGATTAAAATATTGTAAAAATATGATATCTAAAAATGATATAACAAAAGTAAAATACTATTCCCTATATATAATTATTAAAAAATGTATCTAAATTTTCAACGGATGAATGAGAAACAGTTGATAAAATTAAGCTAAGAAGGCAAAGTTACAATTCGGCAACAACCTATCAACAATTGTATAATATTCTACAAAATTAACATGGTATTTTGGTTAAATAAGGTTGTAGAATGAGTAAAGATATCTAGTGTCATTCGATTAATTACAGAACCCAATAAAACTTAGTTATATTAAAAAGAACAATAAACTTGATTCTATTTTATCATTTTTATCTGTTAATGACCTCGCATTATGCTCATAAATTATTAAAAACATCTAGATYTTTCTAATAAAATTATACGACCCTAAAAATATATGAAGATCAAATTTTTAGTATAGCTCCATAGTTTGGAGAAACATAAAGTTCTATCATAGATAGTAATTCAATAAAAATCGTAATGGTGCAGAAACTTAAAAAATTWCATTAGAAATGTTCATTGGAACTACGCAAAAACAAATCATTTGAAATATCGCTGGATTAGGCTATAAGCCTATATTGACRTAAGTTTAAAGATAAAAAAAAWATATATATATAATTACTTGTTAATTATCTTATCAATGAACTACGGTCAATAAAAATAGGTGATAAAGCTCCATAGTTTTATTAAAAATTAGAACCCTTCTAATTTAATACTCCAAACAATATGAGTAGGTTTTATAATATTAT